GGACAGGACTTGAACGGCATTCACAAAGGGACAGTCTCGAGTTATGTAGACTCTCGACCTGTGAATGCCGTTCTGAGCACACAGTCATCAGACGTAACAAAACTTCGTCTGCCTCGGTAGACTCGGAACACAATAGCTCAACTGCGCTCTGGTTACTGCAGCAGGTTGAACTCATACCTAAGCAGATTAAACGAGGATGTTCTAAACGAATGCCCGGCATGTGGAGAGTCGCCCCATGACTCACAGCATCTCTTCGCATGTCCACTGAATTCCACCCTACTAACGCCCCTGTCCCTATGGACAAACCCCTTTGAGGCTGCGCGATTCGTGGGGATACGGCTAGTAGAGCTTGACGACAACGACTGAAGGACTAACCGATCTGGGCGGGGTTGTTGTAGCCGCTAACAGAACAAAAACAACAAACTTAATATCATCACTATTATTATCATGGGAACTCTTTCGCTTCATTGAAGAACGTGGAAACAGCCATGGTGGTCAAATTACGACTGCACACGAGCTTGAGACTGAAGCTGAACAGCTTCATTCAGACATTGGAATAGCTTTTAATAGTAGCTGTCCCCAAGGAAAGGTACGCTGAGGGAAAAAATGTTTGAATTCAAAAAAACGTGCTAAATTTAAAAAAATACGCATATGAAAGAGCACCAACCCAACTCGTTTTAAATTTGAGTATGTACATTATAAAATATGTCGTTGTGAAGTGCACAGATGCTTTTTATACGAAATTATAATTAAGAAGAAAAAAAATTTAGTTTTATGTTCCGTCTGATGGTAATTGAACCCGGACCCTCTTGGCAGCAACCGATTGTATCAAGCATCTTTGCACACTCAGCTACAGCCATACATTTAAATGTGTTTTCAAATGTTGAGTTTGAATCACCATCACAGCGCGCGATTAGTGCATTATGCCATACCATGTATGTGTGTATGTGTTGTCACCGCTGTGCATGCTATGTATACATATATGTCCTTTCTTAATTACATATGAATAAAATTATAGTTTAAAAAAACGGATGCCTCCCTATTATAATTACCATTCGTACTGCCATCAGGTATGTAACTTGAGAATAGAAATCGCTGCATCTTTTAGGCGCATCAATATTACATAGTTACATCCCGAGTTAATAAAAGGAAGGTAATAAAAAGCATCCAATACGTGCAAAACGTCATCCGTGTAGTGAAAAATTCTTCATTTTAATATGGGCGTTTTTGAATTGAATATTTCTATTATGGCTGTATTTCTTTATTCATTCTGAACGTTTGGAATAAACTTTTTTGTTTACTTATTCTTTAGAACGTTCCTGATGATATGTAAACGTATATTTCAATGGCATTCTGTTCATTCTGGTTGTGAAATGGGTTTATCCGGAATGTATAAAGAAACGCAGCCTATACGTAGTGTATGTATAATAGAAAAATCCATTTTGTTAACAATTTTCACTTGATTTAATTACGAACATTTTTAAACGGTAATCAAATAACAAAATTTTATTCTTACAACGCGTTTTTTTCTCAGTGTAAAATCCAAACGTGATGTGCCTTGGTGGAGCAATAAGCTTAAGCAAATGAGATTGCCAAGCCAGAAAACTATTCAATAGAGCAAAGAATACGGGTAATTGGAATCCGTACAAACTTGCACTAACTTCTTATAACAATGAATTGCGGAAATCCAAAAGAGATAGCTGGCGATGCCCTGATATGCAAGGGAGTAAGCCCCATCCTAATAAATTGGGTGCTTTCTATGCTAAAAACAAGGAAGATCATCATGGAGCTGGGGGGCACGAAAGAATCTATTACAGCCACAAGAGGTTGCCCTCAAGGGGGTGTACTCTCTCCTCTTCTGTGGACTATGGTTATACACGAGCTCCTCTTCCTACTAACCGACCCTGGCTTTGAAACACAAGGCTATGCAGACGATCTGGTAATTTGTGTAACAGGGTTGCATGGCGAAACGATCTCCAACTGCATGCAACAAGCCCTGCGCATTACGTAAAGATGGTGTGACACCAAAGGATTATCCATTAATCCTACTAAATCTATTCTGGTTCCGTTTACCCGGAGGAAAAAGGTATCAAGGACAGAATTTACTCTGGGCGGCACTAGAATAGGGAATTAAGCAAAATACCTGGGGGTGTGACTGGATAAGACACTCACCTGAAATGCACATTTGGATGCAACGGTAAACAAGGCAATGAGAGCATTCATCGAAAGCACGCGACTTTATGGGAAGGCATGGGGACTCTCCCCAAAAATGACTTACTGGTCATTCAACACAGTTGTGAAGCCGATAGTCACCTATGAATCCTTGGCATGGTAGACAAAAGCGACACAAAGAACTGCTAGCGCAAAACTAAGCAAACTGAACCGAATGGTGTGCATTGGTATAACAGGGTCTATGCGGACCTGTCCTGCTGATGCACTTGGTGCTCTTGTAGGCATACCGCCCTCCCCAATTCTAATAGAGAGGGAGGCCAGTCTTTCGGCACTGAGAATCCTAAATACTTCCGAGTTACCAAGCGGAAACATGGCAAGTCATATGAAGGTCCTTATGAAATTCACAAGTGACCCCATAATTCATATGAGGGACGCAGTAGCTCCGATACTAGTAATTTCTAGGAATTTCAAGGTATCTATTGTGGACCGAGCATCCTGGAGCACAGGAAATCCCTACACCAAACCCGGAGCTGAAGTTTGGTACACTGACGGAAGATGAAAAAACTGGAGCTGGTATATTTGGGCCGAATTTTAAAAGACCGATACCAATGGGCAGCAACCCCACCATTTTCAAAGCAGAGATTCATGCGATCGATATCTGTGGCAGAGAATGCCTCAGAAGGGGCACATCCTCTAAAAACATCTGCATTATGTCGGACAGTCAGGCTGCCTTGCTAGCACTGAGGTCCCACATAATAACATCAAAACTAGTGTACGACTGCCTCAACACCCTAAACGGTCTTGGAAGCAAGAACACAGTATTACTGGGCTGGGTGCCGGGCATGAGGGCCATGACGGCAATGAACAGGCGCCCCACCTAGCTCAACACGGAGCTACCACACTATTCCATGGCCCGGCACCCTTTTGCAGGTTCACCAAAGCCAACTTAAGGGAGGTCATAAACAAGTGGGTCGACAAAAAATTCGATAGGCACTGGAGTATATGTCCGGGACAAAGACAAGCTAAGCGGTTCATCTGTCCATCGCAAGAAGCTTCAAAGAAGCTCATAAATCTAGGCACGGAGGACCTTCTCACTGGGTACTTCACGGGACATTGTTCCCTGCGGTATCACCCCAGTAAAATCCCAGCAAAAAACACGATTACCACAGAAACGAAAGTGGGAACGAGCTAGGCGATGGGAATCGCTTACCCTTTCGCTTCAAGAAGGCCTTATTTTAACATGGCCATGTCATTGGAGGTAAGCCTTTACCCGCAGCATTACCTTCAAACGAAGGGATAACGCATGGATAAATAGAATCCAGAGAAGCGAACAAAGAATACCTTAGAGAGAAACTAATGTAGAATGCCTAGATAAGTACATACTTATTTATATTAAACTGAAATCAGAAAATGTCTTAAAAGATTAAAATTAATTAAAATTTTTATAAATCAGCTTTTATACATACATATGTATTTATTTAGGTATTTAAATTTTCTTAAAAATCGGTATGTACATACATGCATATTTAACTAAGCTTAAAATTGTACTTCCTCGCTCTTGTACTTCACTTCATTGACTGACTTCAACTTCGCTGCAAATTTAACAAAGCAAAACATGATCTTTATGCGAGACAAATTTCCACAGAAAGTAACGGTAGAAAAAGAATTTTTGGATATTCATTCTATTTTTCAGCTGACTACGATGCAGCATTCTACTTTGCATTCTCCGAAATGAAGCAAAGAAGCGAAATAAAAAAAATATTGTAGGACATTCTACTTTGCATTCCCTGAAATGAAGCAAAGAAGCGAAACAAATAAAATATTGTAGGACATTCTACTTTACATTTCCGAAAATGAAGCAAAGAAACGAATTAAAAAAGAAATAGTATAGGACATTCTACTTTGCATTCCCCGAAATCAAACAAAGAAGCGAAATAAATAAAATATTGTTGGACATTCTACTTTGCATTACCGGCAATGCCTAAAAGAAGCGAAAAAATTCGAAGGCATCATAACGCTATGCCTTCTAGAACACGTTACCACTAAAAGCGATTACCGATTTTTTGCTGGGATGAATCTTTCAGACACGAGCGTCTGTCGCTTCTGTGTGATGGACCAAGAAGCGCCAGAACACATCCTTTGTGAATGTGTTGCTCTGTGTTGTGTTGTTAGACGCAGACTCGCTCACCTAGGTGGTACAACATTTAATCCATTCGAAATATGGAACAAAAACCCCACCCAAGTTGTAGCTTATATTAAAAGCCTTCACGTATAGGGTATAGGGCCACGCACAATAGACTACCCTAGAGGTCGCAGTGCTCAAAGCTCATAATAATAATAATAATAATAATAATAATAATAATAATAATAACAATAATAATAATAATATTCATTATCATAATTATCCTCATCATCATCTTCATCACTATTTTCACTTTACGGAAGTACTACTTTCAAAAGATTTCTCCAAGGAGCAGATTAATTCAACCACGTTGCCAAGTTATGTAATACCAACTGTTTTGTTAATTTTTCATGCAAAAGTAAACACCATTTTCCTTTTTAGGTAATTATTTATATATCAACTAGTAAGCCCGGGCAGACGTAGTCCTGCTACACACAGATACATAGGCAGGTTATATGCATCGTAGACACGATTGAGAGAACACAAAGGTTGCGCCGATCTCGGTACCGCTATTTTTCTCTTAACGAATTTGACAGAATCAGCTGTTTGTATGACGTCACACTGGTGCAATGGTTGATTTTGAACTTAGCAATTTATTTGTGTGTTATTTCTGCGAGATTTTAAGCAATTCAAAGCGATTATTTAAACTTTATAAACTTATACTAAGGCAAAATGAAGTGTGCAGTGGCAAATTGTGATAGTGAAAACTATAGGCAAGCGTGCGATATAAGCTTTTTTTCGTTTCCTACGGACGAAGCTCTCGCCAGAAAGTGGATGCAGTTTTGCCGGCGAGGAAGTGCATTATTGAATCCCAAATCGAGCTACGTGTGCATGAAGCACTTTTCTAGTGAAGATATAGAAAACAATCGACAGTTCGAAATGGGTAATATATTGTGTATTTTCTAAATTCATTCCATTTAATGTTATTGTTGCAAACGCTTTAGGATTTGCAAAAAAACGCCTTTTAAAGCGTGGTGCTGTGCCCAGCATTTACCCAGAGGATGGGGAAACCTCCCAGCGTGCCGAAAGTGTTCAGCGCGAGGAGTACAAACAAATTGTCAGCGAGTTACTTCAGCAGAGTGAATCTGTCGCAGTCAATGAAGGTAACAATTTGATTTTAAAGAAAGTTTCGACTTATATTTGCAAATAAGTTGTTATAGCCGAGGCGAATAACAGTGCCAACGTTGTTCCGATTGACGAAAATGTGGAGAATAAGGAAAATAGCCTAGTGGATGCAAATCTTTCCGAAATCCCCGCGACTTCAACACCTCGCAAAGTCTTCTACTACGACAGCAGTTTGGAAGAAGTTGAGGAGCTGGAAGCTCAACTGTGAGTTTGTAAAAGCAATAAGGCAATCTAAACATGTTGGCATATTCTTGTGTTTAAAGTTTTAATTTTGTTACACGTAGAAAAAGACTTAAGCGAGAAAAGAAGACTCTGTTAATGGATAACAAAAAGAAGGACATGGAACTGGCGGCACTCCAGCAAAAGTACGGTAATCAGAAAAAGAAGCATGACTATGAGGTGGAACAGCTGAAAAAACGCTTGGATGAATACGAAGATATGTGTAAAAACATGGGGAGCAAACTGCTGACCATTTTCACGAAGGGTCAGGTTTCGAAACTGAAGCACGACATTAGGAAACCTACTTGGAGTCAAGAAGACATCGCGAATTCCATCACGTTGTACGCCGCAAGTCCGAAAGCATTTAAACTAATGTACAAAAATGGTTTTCCGCTACCTGGCGTTCGCACGCTGCAAAGTTGGGCACAAAAAATCGACGTATCCAGAGGTTTAATAAAACCGGTATTTAAATTATTAAATGCCTCCACGCAAATGGATACCATTCAAAAGGTGTGTGTTTTGAGTTTCGACGAGATGAAGGTCAGGCAGACTTACTGTTATGATACCTCGTCGGACTCAACACTGGAACCTGTCAGCTATGTGCAGGTAGCGATGCTCACAGGTAGATATATCTTGCGATAAACATTTAATAAAATTTAAATTATTATATTCATTTTATTCGTCAGGACTCGTATCTAAATGGAAACAGCCGGTATTTTACGACTTCGACTGCAAAATGACGAACGACGTGCTTTGTAATATATTACAAAAAACAAAAGATTGCGGGTACAACGTTGTGGCGGTTGTGTGCGACCTTGGCGGTACAAACAGGTCCCTGCTTAACGAGCTTGGAGTGCATGAAGAGAGGCCGTGGTAAGTTTAACAAATTATAAATTGATTTTTTGGTTTGTTTCACATTTTGTAACACATTACGCCATTACAGGTTTGTTTTTGACGAACAGCAAATTTTCACGTTTGCAGACGTTCCTCACATGCTTAAGCTACTGCGCAATCACTTCCTTGACCAAGGGTTTATGATAAAAGGCAAAGAAGTGAAGAAAGAAGTAATTTTAGAGTTATTGTCATGTACCTCGAAGGATTTGACAATAACTCATAAAATTTCAGCAAACCACATCAACGTAGCTGGACCCCAAAGGCAAAAAGTGAAAACGGCTGCAAAATTGTTTTCACACACAGTGGCGCAGGCAATTACGAGGGCAGCAGGCTTGGGGCATTTAAGTAGCCACAACTGGAATGAGTGCTCTGAATTATTTAAATTGGTAAGATTTATACACATTTATATATTTACGTATATTTTAAACTATATCACTTCAAATATACCATTTTAAGACTAACGATTGGTTTGACGTGATGAACGTCAGGGTTCCACACGCAGACTCAAGAACACGGTGCCACGCCTACGGTCTAGCAATTG